ATTACCGTATTATTATTGTTATTAAAGTGTATTTATTTCACTGACAAAAACTTCCAAAATGTTGTAGAACATTCACAGTATTTAAACACTTTTTCTAGGCCGCAGTTTGAACAAGAAAGACACCATCCTGCTTTTAATCCAAAGGAAAGTCAAGTATAGAGTGTGTTATTTTACAGACAAATGCCAGCAAAGTATTGTAATGACAGAATCCAGTACAAGCTATGGGCAGTGGTCCAGACTGGACACCCAACAGTTAATGGGGTCCACTCCTCACTTCACAGAGTGATAGTATTAGGATTGGTTTAGGCACACTTTTTAATTGCACAAACTGCTTGCGTCCCTTACCAACTGCTTGTGCCTAATAACTGCTTATCCTATTAGGCCTCCCTGACAATATTAATACAGGGAATTGACTAACTTTAATATCATCTATGGCAATAAGGGGATTGTGGATGTGGTGCGTTGGTGCACTTAACAATGCAGTGATTTGGTGGACTGAACTGTAAGGCACAAGGATGCAGACGTGTGCTGCACACAAAGGGCAGATTTTGGTGTGCCAGGAGCAAACTCACACTGCCGACCCTGAAAAAGAAGCTCTGCAAAACTATTTTGGAATAAAATATACCTACTTCAAAGCCCAACCCTAATACACTTAGGGGGGTTATTCACGATTGAGCCGAAGAATCCAGTTGTAGCTCCGGCTGATCCTTCGGCTCTCTTTGGCCGCCGGAGCCCTTTGGCTCAGTCGAACCGAAGGGCTGCTGTATGGGCTATTCACTATAGCCCGTACAGCAGCCGAAGGGATGCACCGGTACTGATCCTAGTATTGGTATCGGTGCCGATACCGAGTACTTGGGCTAGTACTCGTCCAAATGCTCTGATACTTACCCCCGATACCGGAACTTTTGGTCAGAGGGACATTTCCTCTGATCGGCAGTGCCGTGAGGAAAAAAGGAGACAGCTTCCCGGCCAATCAGGAAGCCAGCTCCATGCTGTTTGGCTGGCTCGATGCTGATTGGCTGGGAAGCCGGCTACATGCTGTTTGGCTGGCTCAATGCTGATTGGCTAGGAAGCCGGCTGCCCAGCCCATCAGCATACTGAAGGCAAAACAGCATGGAACCGGCTTCCTGGGAAATCAGGAAGCCAGGTGCTATGTCATTACCCACTGCCTGGCTTCTTGATTGCCCGGGAAGCTGGCTCCATGCTAGTGGAAGTACCAGTATTGGTACTTAGTATCAGCGAGTACCAAAATATGAATATCGGTACTCATACTTGATAGCGAAAAAAAGATATTGGTGCATCCCTAAAATTAGCTAATGAATGTAAGATGATATCATATTAGCATGCAGAGCTGTATGCTGAAGTGATTTTTAGTCAAAGAGGGTAAAGGTCCACTTTAATATGGAGGGGGGTGGAACACTAAACCCCCCAATGATTGGCCCTTCCAAGCCACCTGATCACAGCTCAAAGGCCAGGAAGCACATTGTTAGTAATTGTTTGCTACTGGTGCGGACGGCCACCTTAGTTCACATTTCCTCAAACTGAAAACAACTTTGGTTTGGGTTGAACTCATAGTGGACCAAAGCCCCAAAGCTCATCCCTACTTTGAACCTGTAATGTTAAAACAGAGCAGGAATATTGAAAGGGTGAGAGCAGAGTGCTGAGACCTGACTTGAACAACTTCAGTACTTCTCATGTGAACTTTGAGGATGAATTGCTCTCACTGTGCCTGCAACTACAGAGATCAGTGAGAGCAGATTATAAAGTTTGTTTACTGATTTCTACATTAACATTGAACGTATTAAAGTATCACAAAAACAATTGTATTTTTTCCCCAGAGCATATATTCTCCAACGCAACAGGTAACGTTCAGGAGATCTCTGTACATTTCATAACAATTGATAATTAAATCCCAAATGTGTAAAAAAAAAAATATATAAGTCTTCCGCAAGACCAGATGAGGCTTTGTGGAAATAAACGATACTCAGGAGGACACAGATTGTAGAATAAAAACCTCTTTTAATGAGTGTATTGCTGCACTGTGATGGACAACACAGGAAGACGCGCAGCTCGTGATAAGTTTTATTGAACTGTAAATTCAAAAGGAGCCACTGAAATTATTTCTATCTGGAACTCCTTCAAGGCTCTGGATTAGAAAAGAGAGGAAACACAGTATTAGGAATAGTTTGAAAAGTTACCTTGTGCAGTATTGTGAAAGAACTAGAAATATTTCAGATAAAAAGATACATTATTTTATTATTATTATTATCGTCATTATTATTATTGTATTATTATTAGTAAATTAAGCTGAATATAAAAGAAAAATTACATTATTGTTGAAAGCTGAACTCTAGGCAGATATAATTGACACAAATTAAAGTGACATTAAAGCCTAAAATGTTTCCAAATGTTCCCCCCCCCCCCCATGCTGGTGCGGGGACTTACCTTAAATGATGCCTCTTGATCCGATCATCTTCTTCTTTCCTGTAGTTTTCAGGAGTCCCTCCAGCGCTGGTGCCGGTCTCTGATCCGGCGCTGACTCCTGCCTCTTCCAGTTCCACGGAGTCTGTGCGGGTGCACAATGCCTGCATCGATTTACCTTGTGTCTCTCCTCTTCTTGCTTGCTAGCAGTAGATATATGCAAAAAACATGAGGTTTTAATAACCCTTTAAACCCTTTGTGATCATTAATACATCATTAAATCTATTTTTTTTAAATGCAAGCAGTGTAAGTACCTGAATGTGAACTGATATCAGCCTCCTATAGTCCCTGCACAGCTGAGCTGAAGCATGAGAGGAAGAATAAGTCCAAAAAGAGCTACGACGACACTTGCTGACCAGTAGAGTAACAGAGAGATGAGCTCAGTGCTTTGCTGCTTCTCCTTTCGCTGTCTGGTCACAGGATGGAGTCAGTCCGGGATGATGCTGTATATCAGACTGAGGACATCTAGAGGCAGAATAGAAGTACTGCGGGGGAAATCTCTGAATTGAAGGTAACTATTGCAGCAACGACTGAATTTGTTATTTTGTGTTTAATGTACTTTTATTTTATTTTACCTTTGAATTTATTTGCATCGTGTTATTTCTGCTTTACATTGGATTACAAGCAGGGAGGTCGGTATTTTAAGGGGATAGTCTGTATAGGTTTTATTTATTATTTTCTAATAAGCTACTGAAATGTTGACACATTTATGGCCGTCATACATGACTATTGTATCCCAAACCAATGAACATGTTCTATATTAGTCTGACTTTCATCACATTTTATTCCCATGTACCTGGTATCAAATATAAGCCAAAAATATTCTTTGCTCACAGTGTTGGAATTATTAGGATGTATCCCGGGAACCAAAGCACTGTCACGGAATTCCTTCTTCTAGGACTCTCTTCGGATCCTTTAGTACAAATTGTTCTGTTCCACATTTTCCTTGTTGTCTACATGACCACACTGGCCGGGAATCTCCTTCTAATAGTGGCTGTGAGGACCGACAGACGTTTGCACACCTCCATGTACACTTTCTTATCCAGTCTGTCTTTCTTGGACATCTGCTACACCTCCACCATTGCACCCAAGTTGTTGATGAACTTCCTTTCTTCAAACAATACTATTTCATTTGCTGGCTGTGCCGTCCAGTTTTTTTTCTTCCTGTTTTTAGGAGAAACTGAATGCATCCTTCTGGCGTTGATGGCCTACGACCGTTATGTTGCCATCTGCAACCCTCTGCGATACAATATGATCATGAACACAACAGTTTGTTTGTGGATGATCGGCATGTCATGGCTGACTGGTTGCATCATTTCATCTATTGATACATATTTTACATTTCGCTTGACATATTGTGGCCCTAACACCATCAACCACTTCTTCTGTGAGGCTCCTTCACTGATGAAGCTCTCTTGCAGTGACATCTTGGCAGTCAACATCTTAAAGCTGGTGGGCACAACCATCTTGCTTTTAATCCCACTTTCACTGATCCTCATTTCATACTTTCGAATCATAACCACTATCGTGACAATTAGTTTGGGAAAGAACAAAGCATTTTCAACGTGTGTGTCCCACCTTGTGGTGGTGGTCATTTTCTATGGGACGGCAATGTTCATGTACGCTAAACCTGAGCATTCAGTCACAGAAGATGTAGACAAAATGGTGGCCGTATTTTACACAATGATAACGCCCATGCTAAACCCTTTGATCTATAGCCTGAGAAATAAAGATGTTCTGAGAGCCACAAAGAGGCTAGTGGGAGCTAAGTAAGGTTTTACAACCCTTGTAGAGATGACCAGATTGATTGACAGAACTGGGATTTGCAGATGATTCAGTCAAATTGCTGGAAGTGGAGATTCTGGAAGCTCTGGTACTCTGCAGCTTTTGACTTGTGATGTTTTTGGTGGTCGGCAAGACACAATGTTGCCTTAGATTTATTCTAATCCTCCAGTAACTCACCACATAACTTATGGAAGTCAGCAGGGGTGATGTTATTTGGAACACCTTATATAAAATAAGAGGATTTACCTGCAGCCACTATTTTCAATTTGTCACAGTGAGAAGAAAGGCTGAAACACAAAGCAAAAAAAAAAGATTCTACTACCTAATAAAGCTTCACATAAGTGTTGGCCCATTGCTCTAATTAGTGTATTTATACCACTGCCAGCAGTTATTATTGTACAGGGCTTGCTGAGCAACTTAGTGGCTAACACAAAGTCCTGGGTTAGGAGGATATGTAAATGAGGAAAGACAGAGAAGAAAATACAGGCAGAAAGTGCAACAATTCAAGAAAAGATTTGAGCATCTACTTAATGTGTCTAAAAAGAAAAAAAAAGCACACTGGACACCTAAGCAGTATATGTAAGTAGAACAGTGATCCCAAAAAATGTTGTCTTCGATGGGTTATTTGTTGTATAAGATAAATGCCCCTTTGTTTAGCATGTTCATGCAAGGAATGCAAACCAACACACACACATTTACTAAAGACCCGACGGATCCAGCAGTACCTTCAGCTGATCCTCCGGCTCTCTTCGGCCGCCTCTGTCCTTCGATGCAGTCAAACCGAAGGGCTGCTGTTACGGGCTATTCTCAACAGCCTGTACAGCTGCCGAGCGGCTCAGATAGGTGTACTATCCATGCCCCATATACGGCTGCGCAGCCCTGAACTCTGTATTTTGAATTTCACTTGCAAATGGCGAGGGCTTACTGGTCACCTGACTGCGCTGACCCATGAGAAGCACTTCTTGCAGACTGGAGGGGGTAATTCCATTTTACCAAATTACCCTTTAATAACATGAAATGACTAAAATGTCTGTGCAGCAATTTGATATGCTAGATAATTTTTTTGTTTTTTAATGCAAATTGAGTTTTAATAAAGGGCAGTGGGCGTGTGTATTGTTTCTTTATATGGTTATGCAGACTACATTTCCATAAGGAATCATTATATTTATTATCGTTGAAAGCATAAGACCATAATCTGTGTGTACAAATGTTTCCAATCTTTGTAAAATAAATCAGACCCTTACTATGGACCAGGGCTGGATTGACATTACTTTTCCCCATAGGGACACTATCTTGTGCTGCCCCGCTCCTATCCCAGGCTGTCTAGCCTTAGCAGTAGATGTCATAGCCCCAAAGCACACAACGGGGCTGAGGGCAGAAAGGCTGGAAGTTGCCTTCTATAGCTATAAAAGAATAGGCACACTGTCACCCTATTTAACTTACAGTAACATCTATATTTATGGGCCCTGAGTGGGTGATTTATAAGCACACAATACACTATTCTAGCAACAAAAATGAACAGCTTGTGCAGGGACAGCAACAATAAGGATCTGTCTGGATTGCACTGGCAGGCAGAGAGGCAGATTGAAACCTGTTATTTATGGTGGGAATTTTCCATGGCCCAGGGCACCAGATCTGTCAGGTGTGGCACGTAGCTACCCAGGTATTATGTTATTGCCATTAATGTACTCCCATATTTTTTCTCATACCCGGAGTCATTAAATGCGGAACTCCAGAAAAACAGCTAAATACAGTTGTAATACATACAGTATATTGCCAAAAGTATTGGGACACCCCTCCAAATCATTGGATTCAAGTGTTCCGTGAAATTTCCATGCTACTAAATATTCCGCGGTCAACTGTTAGTGGGGTTATAACAAAGTGGAAGCAACTGGGAACAACAGCAACTCAACAAAAGAAATGTGCGAACTGTCTTACAGATGAAAAGCAACAGCAACTCAGCCACGAAGTGGTAGGTCACGTCACATGACAGAGTGGGGTCAGCGCATGCTGAAGCGCACAGTGCGCAGAAGTCACCAACTGTCTGCAGAGTCAATAGCTACAGACCTCCAAACTTGGTGTGGCCTTCAGATTGGCACAACAACAGTGCGTAGAGAGCTTCATGGAATGGGTTTCCATGGCCGAGCAGCTGCATCCAAGCCTTACATCACCAAGTGCAATGCAAAGCGTGGGATGTGTGTAAAGCACGCCGCCACTGGACTCTAGAGAGTGGAGACGAGTTCTCTGGAGTGACGAGTCACACTTCTCTGTCTGGCAATCCGATGGACGTGTCTGGGT